GGCTGGGGACCAGAGGGACACATTCCACCAGGCAGGGGTGGTGGCAGGTCTCCTTCATCTGCCCAGCTGGCCTGGCTCCCCCACAAGCATCCCTGTAACTTAAGGCCCTGGCTTGGAACCCCTCTGGCACCTGTAGAACTGGGGCTAGGGGAGGGGTTCCCTGCTGACAGCCCCACGCCCCCACCCCAGACAGACATGCTGCAGGCATGAAATACCCAGCAGGTTTCTCACCCACCATTTAAAAAAAAAAACCAGCCACAGACAGATGCAGACATGAGCCCTTCTTTGCCACCGTCACTCAGCAAACTGCCCACAGCCCTGCAGGGACATCAGCCAGCAGCCCTGGGGCAGCTGCTCCTCAGCCCTGCAGGATGGGCAGGACATGCCACCTCCCCACAACTTTCCAGGCGCTGGGCAGAGCTCAGAGACACTGCCTAGGTCCTAGGATCAGTTTATTAGTCTAGTAAAAACACTGCTGCAAAGGGATGCATTAGCTACACCTGACATGGGGAGGAACCACAGGCTGTGCCAGGCCTGGCCAAGCCTGCACAGGGGCACTGGCCAGTGTCCCTTCCAGCACAGCCCACCCCTCTGTCCCCTTATTGCAGTGGCTATGCCAGCAGGGACCTTGGCTATTGCTCAGCTCAAGGATGGGCAGGGCAGAACCCTCCAAGACCCACAGCACTTGCAGGCAGGGCAGGGGAAGGCAGCTGCCAGGCCTGGGGACAAGCCAGGCCACCAGAATCCCTCCCCACGGAGCCACTGTGGTCCCTGGGGAGAGCAATGTGGCTGGGAAACCCTTCAGTGCTGTTTGTCTTGGGCACCCTCATCTATCCCCATGTCTCCCACCAGCAGCAAAAAGTCATCCCCAGCTGCTCTCCATAGGGATGGGGACATCAAAGAGGGCACGTCTGCTGCCTGCAGGCAGGTCAAACCCCACCAGCCAGGAGCAGGCAGGACAGGCAGGGACACGAGGGCTGTTTACCTGGCAGTGTTGGTGCTAATGCTGGAGGGGATTGACAGACAGACTGTGAACAAAACGACAGACCATGCAGACCCTCTCATGGCTCACTAAACTGGTTAGATGGGTGGTGCAAATGCTCTCCTGATGCTGGGGGCACAGGGCACCTCGGGGCCACCCCCAAAGACACCCGGACTGGTAACGCCCCCGTCTGCCAACAGGGCCCTCCCCAGGCACATCCCACCATGGGGCAACCAGCCCACGCAGGGACAGGTGCCCGTGCCAGCCCCTGCTCAGGTCTGCAACGCAGTGGCCACTTGCCGGGGAGCTGCCCACGGGCTGTCCCCAGACACGGGCTGTGCCGGAGGGCAGGGCTCCGGCTGCGCTCGCTGGCAGCCCAGACAGGCACCATTATCCCCATGGCACATCCCTGGCTGCTCCCTCTCCATCCCCATGGTCACTCTGAGCACCCACAGGGATTTCACGCACCAAAACCAAGCAGCCAGAGGGCCGTGCTCTGTGTCACAGCCCCCGTGAACAGCTCAGCATCCCCTTTGCTCTCATCCTGCCCGGTCCAGCGCCCCTGTCCCAGCACAGGCATCCAGGCTGCCATGACTCCTTCAGCACCGCCAGGTCCCCAGGTCCCCGGGCAGCTCAGGGCTGCAGCAGGTACTTCTCTTCATTCCTTGCCTCATCTGCATCACAAGCTGGGCTCGCCTTGGGGCACGAGGGGGTCCTGCAGGCCTTGCAGAGGATGAGGAAAAGGATGAGGATGAGCAACGCGATGACACAGTTAAAAGAAATGGCCACGACGGCTCCGGTGGAGAGAGCAGCCCCCATGCCCGGCCTCGGGCGGGGGGCAGCAGGGCCCGCAGCTCAGCCCCGCGCTCGGGATGCCGGCGGAGCTGCCTCCCCCC